GGCACCCTGCCACTTGACAGAAGTCGTAGACAGAGAGGTTGGTGGGGCTTTTCTGCATAGTTGAATCAAGACGCACAGGATTGCTAAAGAACTGGGAGTGTGGGTGAGTGGTGCCAGTGAGAAGAAGATGGGAAGCCGACAGACAGAGAAGTGGGCAAAGACTTAAGAAGACAGCTGTGAACACAAGAAGGCCTGAGAGAAGCCTGGAAGCAGGCGTGGCAGGTGCGAGGCAGGAGTGCTGAAGGGTCCAGAGTCAGAGAGGGTTTAACCCTTCAGATACTTTGATTATCTCAGAAATGCTGTTTTGTCTGGATCCTGGTTCAGTGATAAGTCTGCTTTCATTAAAAGGAAATGGTTGGCAGGCAGGATGAGCTCCAGCGAGTTCTGAACCTGTGGTGAGACATTGCCTTTTACTTACTGCCTCTGCCATTGCCAACTTTTGATCTACGTGAAGCACACTTCTCTTGTCCTTTGAGCAGTCAGAATGGATGTATTAGTTGCTGTAGTTCTGTGAACAGGCTTCTGTTGGGTGCCTGTGGTCACTCTTCAGTGTAACACCATAGCCATAATTGATGGACAGTTGAGTTGCAAGCTTTTAGGACTAATTGCAAACCAAACTAAAACATTTTCTGGAACCATGTTTAAATAATAATGATAATACCTTGTATAGATATAGTGCTTTACAATTTACAAAACACTTTCACATACATCAGCTTATTTAATCTTCACAATAAACAATGCTTTTTGAATGCTTAGATCTTTCCTAAGTGAGAAATCACTTTGCACATCCTGATTTAATTAGAGTGAGTCACCAGAAGTTGTTGGTACAATAACCATCTCTTAAGTATCTTCTATGTACAAAGTACTTCACTAGGGATACCAAGGGGTAAATTTTCAGCAAATAAATATCTAATAAAAAGTACCTGTCCAATAAATGTGATTTTGCCTCCTGATTCACTCACTCCTTATAGTCACTCCTTTGGAGGCTGCTTACCATGCCATAAATGCACGAAAATATTGCCAGAAACTCCTTATGTCATATTTGAAAGCTTTAAAACTAAGGATTCTGGTACTCATCTAAGCTCAGTGATTCTTCCAAAAGTCATTCTTTTTCAACTTTCGGTTTCTTGAAGATTACCCATTACTTAAATCTCTACAAAAACATTTGAAGCTCCCAGCATGTTTGAAGATGCTTGACCATTGAGTTCATTGTCTTGCTTGGAGTGATTAGGTTTGATTCAAGAGTACAACTTCGCCCTTGCCCCCAGCAAGCTTATTATCCACTAGAAAAGAAGAAAGACATGGTCATTGTGTTAGGTTTTCCTCACTGTGGCCAAAATACCCTACAGGAACAACTTAGAAGAGGAAGAGTTTATTTTGGCTCACAGTTTCAGAGGTTCAGTCCATGGTCATTTATCTCCATTACTCTGGGCCCAAGGTGAGATAGAAGATCATGGCAAAGAGTGTAGCAGGGGAAAGCTGCTCCCTGTGTGGCAACCAGGAAGCAGAGAGTGAATGGGAGGAGCCAGGAACAAAATACAAAATCTCCCAAGGCATGCTCCCAGTGACCCACTTCCTCCAGCCACACTCCACCTGCCTACAAATTGCTACCCAGTAATCCCTTCAGATTTTCAGTACATCAAATGGGTCAGTCTGTTGAGTAGGTTATGGCTATCATTTCAACTCCTGCTTTAGTGCAGGAACTTTTCAGGGATACATCATACTTAAAACAGTCATCTCTAGGTTCTATAAATCAGACTGGGATGCTGTAAGGGGCTTGGAAAACAGGACTTCCTGGGAGGCTGCCCTCTAGGTGAAGTGGATGGCACAAGATAGTATTAGTCAGGCCCACTCACAGGGCAGGACTCCTGAACCTGTGACCCAGGGCCTCCGGAGTGTCCAAGCACTTGCTTTGGGCTACCATGGCTCTTCAGAAAAGAAAGGCTTTGCATCTTATCTTACTCCAGATACTCCAAAAGTGCAGGATCCCCAAAATAATAGAGTCCCTGCCTTCAGAGCCCCTTGGAAAGAGTGCCTTCCTCAGCACAAACAGTATGATCTACAAACTGATTCCTTCCTGCACCAAGAGCTGGGTGAAACTTGTGGGCTACTGTGGCATCTCAGCTGAGAAGCCTGTTGTGCTATTGACACCCAGGTGTCATAAGGGATGCTGAGGGTGAATCAGATCGCCTTGGCAACAACTGTTGTTTCTCCAATCCTCTTTCAACTCCTTGTTTGGCTTCTTAATTTTATTAACTTCAACATTATAGTAGTTCTCACTCAGTAGTTTATGTGAGCGTGTAGTTTGGGATTTGGGGGAGGACAAACCCAAGTGTCCTTTTTGTTTTCTCTTTTTTTTTTTTTTTTTTTAACTCATTACCTGGACATACTGGTTTTTAGAAAGTTTTCTTATGGTAACATCTTGAATAACATTTTCTCTGTTTTGCAAGGGAGGCTAATGATCTGGAGCTTAAGCAATCAAAAGTCTTAAGAACTCTTCCTTCTTTGTGTTGGGCAGAAGTGCCTAATACTTTATTTTATTTGGGCAGAGAATATGCAGCCAGCATCTGAACATCCCATAAATACTTGGGAGAGGAACACAATTAGGATATAGTGTAGAGCTGGGAGTTGGAGCTTTAAGTCTAAGTGATGTTTCCAACTGGGGCTGGAAACGTGCTTTAAATAATTGTATTCTGATCATTTAGGTCTCTCTTTATAGGGCATCTTTTATGACCAAGACTGTCCAGTACCAAAATGAGCTACATAAATTCCTAATCTGGGATACAGCTGGACAAGAACGAGTAAGTCACTCTTTAATTTACTATGTGTTTTTCTGAGGCCCAAACCAAATTAGAGCACCAACTAAACTGTCACCGTTCCTGTCATTTCACGTTACTCACTTCTCTTCTATGCGCCAGAGACACATTTATTTCCATTTGTGGAGGCCAGCCTTTTTCTTTTCAATTAGAGTCACAAAGTCCGCTGATGGAGAAAGTGATAATGGGCACTGAGGGCATTTTTATATTTTTTAGTGTCTTAAAGTAAATGCTGACTAACAGGCTGATAAAATCCCACTTGAGCATTGTGTGTAATTTGGGGCTCCATCCTCTAGTAAAGATGTAAAAGAATTAGTGGTAGAAAGGGAGAGTTAAGCACAACTCATTTATAGCTGCCTTTTAAAAAGCTAAAGAGGGAACTTTACAGCATATAAAGTTTGAGATTTAAGTGAAATGGATGAGCTAACACAGTGCCTTGCAGTAGGTACTTAATAAATGCCTGGTAATAAAATTGGCCAAAGTAGTTATCTGCCTAAGGAAGAGCGTAAACCAAACTGGGGCCAGCCACAGCAGCACAGGGCCAGGTGGGATTTGGGGAAGCCCACCAAGTCAGAAGAGGGTGGGAATGGGGCAGGCACAGGTACTATCTATCTCCCCTCCGGGCACTGACTTCAGTTTGTTGTCATGGTGCCTGTGTCTGCCCCATTATTCAGCAGACGTTTAATTTTGTTTTCAAACAGTACTATCAAACCTGCATCAGATGGATGCACAGTGCTATCTTAAGCTCTTAGAAGTACACCAGAAGTAATCAGGAAAAATAGTGTGTCATCACCGTCTTATCTAAGACAATGTAGATACTGTGTATGGCATAAAATCTGACAAGAATCATCGCAGACAAATGGAGGAAAACAAAACAAGCCATTACCGTTGTCCTAGATGTAGACACTATACATTTGTACAGATTTAATGTTTTAAGTTCACTTTGTTTGGTTTCTTCTGTTTTTAATGCTGGATGTCTTGCTACCATCCAGTTACTCATCTGAGATGTGTCTGCTTATGGTTTTCTTTTCCCCTCTCCTGTTATGCTGGTGTTGTGCATCTAGAATGAGACATTTAAAATAGCTAGACCTTTGCTAACCATCACTCTTCTGTCCTTCAGAAGCGGTTCTTACCACAGAGTCTGCCCGCATTTATCTGTACACACAGCCATGGGATTTGTCCTATCAGCCCCAAACTGGTGGGGCTCTTCCTACCAATAAAACACACTCCCTTCCGCTGGATCCCCAGGTTCAGCTACCCCTCACAGATACAGATGGTACAGCAAAGCCATCATCATAAAGAACCCTGCTATAGTACAGATCCCATTATGCTCTCTTCAGAGCCTGTCCTGGTATACACGATGAGTATAGCATCTCTTTTTTTCTGGAACATGAAAAAAGAAATAACCCAAGGGCACATGGCTCTCCCTTTCTGCTGGCATGATTGCAGGGGTCTTTGAAGTTTTGTAATTAGCCAGCTTGCCTGCCTTTTGTGTGCCTCCTTCTCATTAGTTCTTCAACAGGAATAGCTGCTCTCAAATGTGAACCTGCCTCCACTATGCAGAGCACCTCTTGCAGCCCAGAGCTGGAGAGGAGGTGTTCATGAGGAAGCGGCCAAGAGAGGAGAACCCCCAGGGAGCACTGGCAAAAGCACATGTCCATGGTTGCCAGATTGCAGAGCTTAAGAAAAAGCTAAACATGGGACATATCATCAAAGTATAGGGAAGATCAGGCAGGACGTAGCCGTGAGCCTGGTCAGGGTCAAGGACTGACTGACTGTCCTGGGAAGGCCTTCTGGTCCCTGAATATACCAGCCACTGCCAGACTCTCTATCTCTTCCACCAACCTGGCCTCTAGCACTGAACTGCTTATAGTTTTCCAACATGCCATCCTGTTTATATCCTCTTACCCTTCTTCTTAGGTTTTGTCTGGAAAACTTTCTTCGGCCTTCAGAACCCACCTCTGATGTCACTTGACTAAAGGAGGCTTTCCTAAGCACCCCTGGTGGTCTCGAATGAGTAACCACTTTGCCATATCCCATTGTTGCTCAAACCCAAATCTGGATGTTGTCTTGGACTCCTCGCCAGCTCCCCACACTGCTCTAGGAGCATGTGCTGATATCTCCCTTGTCTAAATAACTTTCTTCATTTCTACTCCCATCACCCTGCTCTTAGACACCTTTTACTCTGACTTGAGTATTCCATAGTCTTCTAACTGGTCTCCCTGCTTTCCTCCAGCCCAGACCTGACCCATGCCACTTCTCACAGAACCTAGAGTCCTTTAGAAATGAAATCGGACTCTCATATTTTCCTGCTAATACCCTTCAGCAGCCGATTATTGCTCCTCTCCTCTGCCCACATGCCCTGCTCCTCCAATCTGCTTAGTGTCCTTCCAGCCCGTCCTCCTTCTCTCCCACTGAATTCCAGCCCACTGCCCTTCGTTAGGTCCTTGAGCACCCGTTGTCATCAGGCCTTCATGTACATTGGTCCTTCTTACTGGAATTCTCTCTCTCCTCTGCCAATAGGCTCCCTTTACGAGCTCTTGATCTCAGGTTAAATGTCATACCCTTAGAATTTTCCCTGAATCCACCCCTTCACCCCTTGCATCTAAGCACAGCTGCCATTCATTTCCCATTATTGCCAGTATTCATTTTCCTCAAGACATTTGTTAAAAGTTATAGTTCAATGTCTGTCTGTCTGTCTAGCTTTTATTGACAGTCTCTCCTTGCAAACAGTAAACACTGAGAGCTGAGAGCACAGTGTCTTGCTTGTCCTGTATTCCCAGCCTCCATCCAGGGTCTGATGTAGAGCTCATGTGCAGAGCCTGGTTGGACGGAGCAACAGATGAACTCTTACATCCTGAGCAGGCTTCAGTTGCCCTCATCCATGCCATCAGTACCTGTTCCTTACTGTCATGTCTTCCATTGGACAGTGAGCTCCTTGGGAGCAGGACAGTCCTCATGTCTCTGCTCTCAGCTCCTAGCACATGGTGTTGATGACAATAAACGTCAGCTGCCTGCTAACCCTCCTTAGGCACACACAGATAAGGACAGACCTTCTACTACTTTCACCATGTGAGTAGTGCATGCCTGGAATGATGCTTTTTCTGGTGTTTGCATGTGTATTGTTTGGTTCACTATAGTTTAAAGATTCTCAATGGAAACAAAAATGGTTATAAAATGAAAACTTTCTGATCAACTAACTAATTGTATAGCCTCCCCATTTGAGTCTAGCATCTATCCTATTGCCACACATTTTGACAGTGTGTTGTCTTTCTGTTGGTCAGGTTATGGATGATTACAAAGTGATTAAACTGGTGAAAGTGATTTTGGAGAATTTTTCAAAATGTTATGTGAATCCTTGACCATTGGGATCTTGTTAAATGAAGAGAAAAATACCTGTCAGGTTGCTGGTACAGCACTTCAGATGACAGTGAGTTCAGAGGGACTTACAGAAAATTCTTGGAGGCTACAAATATCTTGTAAAACTTACTATTTTTATAAGACTGTGTGATCAAATATGAAATGAAGGATATCATATTGTGCTAGCATATAGTTTTATCAGAACAGTCATAACCAAATTATCAGTTAACTGTGATTCAGTGTTCATCCAAAAAATTCAGCTCCTGACTGTTAAAATATGGCTACAGCTCAGTGGCAGAGCACTTGCCTAGCATGTGTGAGGCTCTGGGCTCATTTGTCAGCACCACATTTAAGCAAATAAGTAAAGGTCCATCAATAACTAATAAAAATATTTTTTAAAATAAGGCAAATATTTTTCAACTACCAGGTAAAATGAGACTTATTTTCCTAAATTTAAACTTACTTCCTCAAGATGACCTCTGTGAGTCCTTTTTGTCCCTGTTATTTGCAAACTGAGTGAATTCATTTTGTCACATTTTCCCACCAATTATCCTTCACTAACAAAGACTCCTGTAGTAGTGTGGAGACAAACACAGCACATGAGCACCATGAGTGCATCCCATTATTACACCATCAGTGTAGAAAAACACTTCAAATGCTTTCTATCTGCATGTGATGATGTAGAAGAAAGCTGTTTAGCAGAATCTAGCAGACCCTACATCCAGATCCTAAACATTTACATCCCTACTTGTTGTGGTTCTCCTGATGGCTTTTTCCACAGGTCAGAACACCAGGAAAGCACACAGTTATTATCACCATAGTCTTGTAAGGAATTGTTCTTATGTTAAAAGTCAGGAACTTAATGACTTAGGGTCATCTAGAACCGGAGTAACAGACTATGGCCTATGGGCCAAATCCAACCTGTTGCCTGTTTTTGTAAGTAAACTTTTTATTGGAACATAACCATGCTGGTTTCCATGGCTGTTTTCATTCTACGGTAATAGAGATGAGTGGTTGTGACAAAACTCAAATGGTCCACAAAGCTGTAATATTCTTGGCCCTTGCCTTAAAAAGTTTGCTATCTCCTGATTTAGAGCCACATTTGGAGCACAGATGTGCTGATGTCTTTTGAGTTTCTTTATGTGCTTCCATCTTTTTTCTTTACACCAAAATGATATGGAAAGAGTTTCAACATGACAGAAGAGTACCCTATAATAGACTAACCTTCCCAGATACAGCAATTTATATACAAACTCTGGATAAAACTTTTAAAATGTATTGCAGAGCAACCAGATGCAGCCAGGGACTGAACAAAAGAGCTATGATGGGCATGGTCCACATTGTCACAGCTTTTCCTAGTTAACACTCCTCAGACCATATGGCAACTAGGACTCAAGCAGAAAGCCTGTCTTTTTAGCTTATGACACCTGTGAGTCGTGTTGAGGACTGCAAGAACAGCTGGAAAAAGAGGATACAAATCCCACAAAAATGGTCCCAGCAAGGAGGGAAGCCCCAAAGTCTGTTTATAAGTTTTCCTCAAGGCTTTGGTTGACCATCCAAGTTGTGAATATACAGAGGAGACATTACCAAACCCAGAAGAGACCAACAGCTAGAAGAGTGACTAGAACAGAGCAGAGACTGCCATTACAGCAGAGCTGCAGTCTGGAGTTTGAACCCAGTCCTGCCATGTTAGAGGGGAGGGGTAAACACCTCGGGCATCCCATTGAAACTTCCGAAGGGCAGTGCCTCATCAGTGGAGAACAGGTCCTGCAACTAAGGGGGACCTTGATGGCCTTACACAAAGTTAAGGTGGCCTGTCTCACAGTGGCTAGCCGGTAATTTAACACTCTGCAAAGAAGAAAACAAAAACTAGTTTTCTTAAGTGTATCATCCATGCTGTCCAGTATACAGTCAGAATGATTATACATACAGAGAAGAAGGAGAAGAGGACACAGGGAGGAGAACAACTCCCCACCCATTATTAGAATTTGCAGATACAGAATTTAAAGCACACATTTTAAGTATGTTCAAAGATTTAAAGAAAAGTAGTCTTAACTACTTAACTGCAGAAGAGAAATCTCACTCTTAATGAAAAAGAATCAAATGGGAATGCTAAAACTGAAAGCTACATTTCATTTTTATTTAAGGTGAAGAATTCACTGGATAAGTGATAGAACAAATTAATCAGAGAAACAGAGTAGAAAAAGGTGAACAATACTTATTGAGACAAATTCAAATAGCCTAACATAGGTATAATTGAGACCCAGAAGAAGCAAAGAAAGAGAGAGGTTCGGGAGAAAAAGAGACTCCAAAAAGAATGCCTAAAATATTCCCAGATCCAGTGAAACCCCATCTCACAAAACCAAGAAGTTCAGCAAACATGTAAGTACAACAAAAACCACATTTAGATACATACATCATGAATCAAACTGCTGAAACCAGAAATTGAATCTCAAAAGCAGCCACAGATGAAAGATACATTATATATGAGGGAACAGTTTGAATGATGGCTGTCTTCTTACAGAAACAGTGATGACCAGAAGTCGGTGGGACAGTATCTCTACCATGCCAAAAATACCTGTCAAATATGAAGTCAAAATAGGATGCTATTAGAAAAGCAAAAACAATTCAGCAGCAGTTCACAGAAAGTTTTTCAGGCTAAAGTGAAATGACTTTGGTAAATAAGATCCACAGGAAGAAATAAGCAGCCTTGGGATATAGTAAATATGAGAATCTCTCATTGTTTCTTCTCAACTATAAAAGAAAACTGGCCATTTAATTTAAAAATTATGATATTGGATTGTGGAATTTATAGTGTAGATAGATTTTAAATATTTGACAACAGCACAAAGAATGTGGGATAAAAAGCATTCGATGCTTGGATGGTTCTTACATTTTATATGAAGTGATAACATTTTAAACTCTTAAGTACACTAGAAAAAAATGTATATTGTGGTTACAAGAACAGCCACTTAAAAAGTGATGTAAGATAATATCGCTGCATCCAATCCAAAGAGAAGAGTAAAGGAAGGACAAAGGAATTTAGAAAGAAATGGAACACACATAAAAAAAAGCAGTGGACCGAGACCCAAGCACATCAGTAGGTGCGTTGAACGTAAAGGACCATTGCACTTGGAAGGCAGAGGTGGGCAGATGTGCCGAAAGGCGGGACCGGACTGTGTGCTGGTTAAAGATTGTTCGTGAATACAAAGAAAGGTTGAAAACGAGAATGGAAATGATATTCTATGCAAATCATAGACAGAAGACAGCCACTGTGCTCAAGTTCATAGTAGGAAGTAGGCTCAGAGACAAAGATTATGTTAAGGTTAAACAGGGACATTAAATTTCACGTTTGCTATCCTGGTGGATGGCTTCTTTTTTTTTTTAATATTTTTTTTTCTTAGTTCTCGGCGGACACAACATCTTTATTTTTTATTTTTATGTGGTGCTGAGGATCGAACCCAGCGCCCCGCACATGCCAGGCGAGCGTGCTACCGCTAGAGCCACATCCCCAGCCCCGTGGTGGATGGTTTCTATGGATGTGTACGTCCATCACTTATCAGTTGCACAGCTAAGGTCTTTGCTTTACTCATGTGAATTTTACCTTACAGTTTTAACAAAGAAAAAGAAAGAACCCTGTAAAGGATGTTGCCACCATAAGCATATCAGAAATGAAAACTAATACCATAACCCTTTCTTCCACCTGTGTGCTGTGTATGCTGTGGAAGTCAGTCTGACATTTAAAATTTTTTTTACCTAATGTAGTTTCTTCCCCTCCCCCTCATGTGTGGTCCTAGGAATTGAACCCAGGAACACTCTACCATGAGCTACACCACAGCCCTTTTTATTTTTCATTTTGAGTCAGGATCTCACTCAGTTGCCAAGACTGGCCTTGAACTTTGTGATCCTCCTGCCTCAGCCTCCCAAGTAGCTGGAATGACAGGTGTGGCCATTGCACTCAGATATAGTTCCTTTTCCTGCATTGTTTTCTTAACTTACAACTTTTATTTTTGTTTTCTTATAAAACTTACCATTTTGTTGGAAGTAGGCTTTCACCCAGGCAGACCTTTTACTCACAGAGATTAGTGAACATTTCTGTCTGTGGACATACAGATCTGGCATTTAGTTTGACATCCCCACGTTACAGTTCTTCATTTGCTCACCAGTTCTTGATTACCTCAGGTGCTAGGCCCTGAGATAAAATGGAGTGCAAAACACTGATGCTATCTTCCCTCATGGAGCTTATAGTCATATTTTTCTCTTTCTTTTGTAAAACTCAAAGTAACATGAAAGTTTAAAAGCAAAAAGATTATGGGCTGGGTTTGTGGCTCAGCGGCAGAGGGCTTGCCTAGCAGGTGCAAGGCGCTGGGTTCGATCCTCAGCACCACATGAAAATAAATAAATAAATAAAATAAAGGTGTTGTGTCCAACTACAACTAAGGGGAAAAATTTTTTTTAAAAAAATTAAACTAACTGATAAGAAGTTAGAGTCCAGACTGTCACTGTGGCCCAAGTAACTGAGGCAGGAGGATCGCACATTGGAGGCCAGCCTCAGCAACTTAGCAAGACCCTGTCTCAAAAAATAAAAAAAAGGGTAAGGATATAGCTCAGTGGTTGAGCACCCTTGGTTCACAACCTAGGGTCACAAGAAAAGAAGTTGCAATGTGCACAGTTCTGTGTGTATGCTGCATATGCACCAGTGCTCCCCCATGAAGGCATTCCTGCCATATTTGGTATAAGCTGCCAGAAACAGCAGGATGCAGTACACAACATGACATCATACAGTTCAGCCTTCAAAGTTGAAGTGTGAAGGTAAAAGTCTAGTCTGTTAACTTTGGCCTCACATTCTGTGGATGATGCTTTTACGAGGACATTTGCACAGGAACCAGATTTTGACTGGGGAAAGTGCTTCATGTTTCCTGTTTGGCATTCATCAAAAAAAGGGCTCACTAAACCACCGTAGCTGTGGAAGTGGTTACTCCTCCTCATTTCTTCTCATCCTTATTGTGCTCAGTGGAGGGGAGGTGGAAATGAAATGAGACATGTACCCTGCATTTGGGAATCACCACATGGATTAAGATATCAAGAAAGCATGTTGCAGACTCATTCGAGTAGTGAATTTAAATGTGTAACCTTGTCTAGGACAATCAGCATCTGGATTACAGGGTGATCTCTGAGACACCCCAATGCAGCACTTCTCTGGAGAACTGTTCACAGCATTATTTTTATCTCCCTGATAGTTTGGAAAGCCAAAGTTTAAAGGACTATTGAACAAATGAATTTGGGAATTACAACATTGAGTTCAATTAAAAAGCCTTTTTAGCTGAATCAATTGTTTATAGCACCATATTTAATTCCTATAAAACTGTATTCTAAACTATCTTCTGAGAGACATTTCAGTGATAACATTAAAAGTTTTCGCCTTTGGTAATTACTGGTTCATTTGCTTTAAAACATGATGTCATCTTTGGCTTCAGAGAAAGATTACCTTTTGTACAGGGATAATGGACTTTGAAGTCTAATTTTAAAAAAATATATATATTTAACCAGTTTTTCCAATGTTGTTGTTTATTTCCCTCTGCAGTTTCGTGCCTTAGCACCAATGTACTATCGAGGCTCAGCTGCAGCTATAATCGTTTACGATATCACAAAAGAAGTAAGACCATATTCAGTTTTCCTTAGAATATTTTGGAGATTCTTAGTTGCTTAGATCTCCAGTTTCTTCCTTTGTATTACAGGAGACATTTTCAACATTGAAGAACTGGGTAAAAGAGCTTCGACAGCATGGCCCACCTAATATTGTAGTTGCCATTGCAGGAAATAAGTGTGATCTTATCGATGTCAGGTAAGTTATTAGACAAAGAGATTGCACTGCTGATTATGTGTTCCTGTTCTTAATGAGCAATATCCAGTGTAAAAATCTTGGTGTGTGTGTTTTTTTTTGTTTTTTTTTAATCTTTGACATTGAAAAATTCCTTTTTGTTATATGGTCTGAGTCCTGAAATTTCAAACTAAAATTATAATTTCAGGCATTTGGAGCAAATCACATTATGTCTATAGACAGGTGTGTAATTTACTTGAACATTGGTCACATCACAGTTGGCATTATCTGAGATCAGGGCAGCCCCCAGGCTCTTGTGTTACAGAACTGAATAAGGAAAGCACATTTATTAGAATTTTCTCTCTACCGTTTCCATAATTCCCAAGGCAGGGGTTTTTTATTTTTATTTTGGGAGTAGGAGTAGAAAACCTTGCCCTAATCATTCCATTAGCTATGTTGTTAGTGGTACTGGGTTTTGTTTGTTTAAACACAGAAGTGGTATAATTGGGAAGACTGAGTGTTGGGGTTCACAGAGCCATTCAGAACACCCTCTGTCATCAATAATCTGGTTAATTACTGGGTAGGTGGGGGTAACATAAGCTCTTAATGGGTAGAAGTTCTGATTTGCAATTGTTGCCTTACAGAGAAGTCATGGAGAGAGATGCTAAGGACTACGCTGACTCCATTCATGCGATTTTTGTAGAGACCAGCGCAAAAAATGCGATAAACATAAATGAGCTCTTTATAGAAATTAGTGAGTATCTCTGTTCTTATGGGTTTCCTCTGTGCAGAACAACTTCAGAAAGAATTATCTTCCTGGTTAGAATTCCCATCGTATTTTGAGTAGTCTAGTCTCTGGTGCTGTCGTCAGTGAAATGAGATTTGAGAGTACAAGAGGAACGGCCAGCTTTCCTCTCAAGGTGTGATTGCTGGAGAGCTGCTGCCTGATGACTGTGGCTCTTCTGGAAATAATGTTGCTACTGAATAAGTAATGCACAGGGCATGAGGTCACAGAAGCTATAGTCTCCCTCTTTCTCTATTTAAATGTATTTCAATTAGTCATCCAAGGTCATCAAAAATGAGCAAAATAAATAAAAGGAAATAAAATGCAGATATAATTACCCTGCAAGAAAATCCTCAAAAATTAGTAGTAAGCAGGGGAGAGGTATGGAGATCTTTTTCCTACCCTCCCCTTCCCCTTCCAGAGTGTTGCATGATGACACTAGATAGGAGAGAGGCTGCTGCATGCCTTTGGGATCCCCTACAGATTGTATCTATGTTTATTCATTTCATTCAAATTCATCAAAATATTTATTGGAAACTGTTCCAGGCTCTGGGGAGAGAGCCTGAAGAAGATAGACACAGCCCTTGCTCTCTCAGAGCGCACGTTCTGCCGAGGGAGACAGAAAGTGAACGCCAGATAAATAGGATCATTTCAGATCATAATAAGAGACATGAAGAAAATAATTTACAGGGGGAAGTGGCAAGGGGGTGGGAAAGACGGTGGAATGAGATGGGCATCATTACCCTAGGTACATATGTGATTGCACAAATGATGTGACTCTATTTCATGTACAACCAGAGAATTGAAAAATTCTGCTCCATTTATGTACAATGCATCGAAGAGCTTTCTACTGTCATGTATAACTGATTAGAACTAATTTTTGAAAAAAGAAAATGATTTAGGATGAAGTGAAAAAGTACCTGCAGGTGATCAGGGAAGGCCTCTCTGAGGAGGTGATACCAGCTGAGGTCAAACAGAACAGACTCTCTCAAGATGCGGGAGTTCACATTGACATGGCAGGCGCCAGGGAGGTGCAGGAGTCAGCCCTGCAAGGTCAATGCATTAAGGCCCACCCTCTGGTTAAGATCTGAGACAGCTAGAACTGGAAAGGTTCTTAGCTTCTGTGAAGAAGGGTTGTGAACTCCAGTGCCCACCAAGGCCAAGTGGAGCAGTCTCCCGGGAAGCCCTGGGGTTTGGCCCCAGCTCCAGCAACTGGAGTTAAGCTGGAGTATAAGCCTCTTGGTGCCCAGTTGCGGAGGTGGTTTTCAAGGTTTTTTATGGTTTACTTTTGTTTTGCTTTTATGTTGCTATCTGTAGTTTGCTCAGAGATCTGGATTTTTATGTAATGTGTCCCATTGTTTAGATCTGGCCGTTTACACTAAGCACAGTGTCATGCGCCTATAATCCCAGCAATTTGGGAGGCTGAAGCAGAAGGATGGCAAGTTCAAAGCCAGCCTGAATAACCTGGCAAGATCCTGTCTCAAAATTTTAAAAGGGCTCGAATGTAGTTCAGTGGGAAAATGCCCCTGGGATTAACCCCCAGTATAGCCAAAAAAAAGAAGAAGAAGGTTGTGAACTGTATCAACAGTGTGATTGGGAGTGTGGTTCAGGCAGAGCAATTGCTTGCCATGACTGAGGTCTTGGGTTCTATCATCAGCATCACCAAAAAAAACGATTCACAAAGATTAGAAAAATTGTCATAGGTAGAAATCAGGTTTATTTTTCACTGGGTGCTGCTGTCACATTGTATGAGCACAGTGCCTAGCATAACTGTGTGTTGAAGATTCATATGGAAAAGTTCACCTACAGAAGCACAAAGGCCAATGTGTTGTTCCCAGTGGAGTAGAGCCTGTGGGTGCACTCAAGGTAAGCCATGGCTCTCCTGCTTCCAGGATGACAACCATCCTGTTAACTCTTTAACATGGTTTGGTTTTACATATGTTTTGTGCTATTTATATTTTTTAAAGCATACTCTGTTTACTCTTTGTGTCTGGTTTCTCTTATTATATATTACATTTTTAGATCATCCCTATTATCTCATGGAGCTGTAGGAGATGCATTCTCGGGGCGTGTGTGTGTCAGGTTCCAGATTCAGAGGTGGGGACTGGGGAAGGGGGATATCCATGGTATAATCATCCATTCTGCTGTAGATGGACATTTGGACAGTTGTTTCCAATTTAAAGCTACTACAGTACTGTTCTGAACATTCTGGTCATGTCCTTTGGTGAACATCTGTACACATTTTGTTAGATATATTTATCCCCAAAAGAAGAATAGCTGGGTCGTTGGATTTACCTGTATTCATATGATTTCACTGCCAATATTCACAATGGTGGTTATGCCAGTAGATACTCATCAGTGTATGTGTGAGGTTCTACTCCTGTATCTCTGCTGGGCAGGTAGCGGACTACATTTCCCCTGGGTTGATGAAACCGAGCGCTGTCCAGACACTTATGTACGTTTCTGTGCTCTCTGAGTGGTCTGTCTTGTGAAGTGCCTGCCAGGCAACTGCCTTCTTAATGTCTATGCTGCTTTATTTTGTATGTTCGTCCCTTGTTGATTATGTGTATTAGAAATATCTCCTCCTCTGTGGCCTGACTTTAATTTTTGAATCAATCTTCAATCAACTGAAGTTTTTCATCTGAATCTAATCCAATTTGTCCTTTTTTTTATTTTCATGGTCAGCATATGATTTTTAGTTCCTGTTTAAGAAACCATTGCCTATTCCCAGATGATAAAGATGTTTTCTTCTAGGAATACTCATTCTAAAAAGACTTTTTGTCACATTTAATAGCTGCTTCTGTGATATCTGCATTTGAGTTTCCATTTATTGAGAAAAACATAATAACAAGAAGCTTCAGTAAAGCTTTTAAATAATTGGTAACTTATAAATATTACAGCAGTATCTGTAGATATTTGAGAAGTTGCAGGAGACTTTTTAGTTGATGTGGGGACCATGCCGTGTGCTGCCCACACGTTACACACTTCCCAGAATGGTGAAGTCTTGAGGTTTGATTGTCAAGGACCTGAGAGTTGCTGCCAGTTCTCTCTTAGCCTTGCTAACATCAGAAGCTGTGCCTGTCCATTCATTCCATGTTTACGAATACCTCCACACCAGGTAGTGTGCCACAAAGATTCCAGGAATACCACCCATATGGAGAAACAGGATCTCTCTTCTCTAGAAGAGCGTAGGGTGTAGTTAGAGGGAGTCAGTCATGTAAACAAATATGTCCTGGTGTGCTTCTAGTGACCTGATGGAATTCGGTATCTGAGATGGAGAGAGGTAGGAAGTAGGTGGGCATCAGGAAAGCCATCTTAGAGAAAGTAGCCCTTGATTATCAGCCAGGTAGATGGACGGGTGATTTAAGATTTGTCTCAAATTTGACATTATGCTTCACAGAGCAGTAAAGTGAAACCTGTTCATTCTTACACATTGTTGGTAGGAGAATAAAATGGCACAGCCTCTTTAGAGAGCAATCTGGCAGCATCTGTGAAAATTTAAATCACGAATCCTTCTTGCATTTGTGCTAAACAGACACTGGGAAGACATTGTGTGTCAGACAAATGCCAAGTATAGAATAGCATGACCTAGCTCCTCCAATCCTGTTTGTTTATCCAACACACACACAACACACACCCACACCATTATTATAACATCAAAATATGGGAATAAACTAAATATCCATCAGTGGAAGAACAGTTAAATATATGATACATACAGGTGATGTAAAGCTAATAAAAGAAGCAGCCGTCTCCACTGTGCTAAGGAGGAGCAGTCCCCAGGATGTATTGAGTGAAAGCATCAAGGAGGAGGTCAGTTCCTACTACTTGCTCTCCTTCATGCTTCAGAAAGCAGAACAGGGCAGGAACCAGATACTCCCTCCCCAGAAGGCTGCACCAGCAGTAGGTCACAGTGGTAGCTCTGCCATGACACTAAGGGACAGGCATGTTCTGATCGAATTTTTTTTTTAACATGTAGTTTATTATCAATGTTTTTTTTTTTAATGTGTAATTTTTTTAATTAAAAATTTTACTAATGGTCTCAGGATGTAGCTCAGTATAGAGTGTTTGCCAAGTATGCATAAGGCTCTGGGTTCAATCCCCAGAACTACAAAAAAAAAAAAAAAAAAAATTCTTGTTTCTTTACTAAGTACTGTGTAATGTCCTTGTTTGGATCCTGGGACCGAAACTGGACATTAGTGGAAAAACTGGTGATACCTGAAAAAAGTCTAATGTTGATTTATTCACTTCAACAAATGTCCCAAGACAATATAAGACCCCAGTCTATATTGAAGGGAACAAGATGAGATGTACAGCAACTCTGTGCATCAGTCATCTTTGCAACTTTTCTGTAAATTATTCCCAAGGAAAATGTTTATTAATATTTTTTTTTAACTCAAATTGCATCTGCAAAATTGTGTCTGAGAAGGAACCGATTGGGAAAGTTGTAGCTAATTCCCTCTCCTCCCATTTTGGTGTAGGTCGAAGAATTCCATCCACGGACGCCAACCCGCCATCTGGCGGTAAGGGCTTCAAACTCCGCAGACAGCCGTCAGAGCCAAAGCGAAGCTGCTGCTGATGAGCCTCAGCCTCAGACTCGAGGGTGAAGCAGGTGGTCCTGACAGTTAGCAGGAGGGCTGGGGGCCTGCTACCAGTGTCCACCTAGCCGCTCAAGTCTTCTTCATGCAAAAAGGACTCACAGAAATTGGCCGGTTCTGTTCTCCCCTTGAAGACTGCAGCAATGGTATTTCAGTCTGTGGACGTCCAGTATGTCAAGGATCTGTGGTGTCCAAAGGGACCGCATCATTGACTTTGACCTTGCTGAAGGGAGCACGTCATTGTATGGATGGTGGAATTAAATTGCTGAGTAGTTTTGTAATCAGGATTTTATGTAACATTTGTAAAAAGGGAAAATTAGCACTTTCGTGGTTCTTGGGGGGGGAAGGCAAGATTATCATTTCCTTGGTTTCCCGTTACCACTGTTGGAAGGAGTTGTATCATTTAAATGTGGTAGGATATTGCAGGTAGAGGGACGGCAGTTACTGTTGGAAGCTGAAATGGTTCTGTCTAGGACAGATGGAGATACTCCATCTCTGCTGTCTCTGAAGCACTTTCTGTGAAGCATGTTAGCCCCAGATACATACAGAAAGCCAACACCATGGCAGTGGTTGCTGGCCCACCCTGGGTTTGCTTTTGACCCTGTCGCACATGTATCACTAAACACATCACTGGCGCCACTGTGGTGGTGATAGAAAAGCACCTGGAATAAATGAACTGCATATGTCCTAAATAGGTTAGCAGCAGTTTAAAAAACAAGGAAGAGGAGAAAGTAATGTAAATGCTGTCAATTTTTTTATTTAATCCAAGTATTTTGGTGGGGAAAACAAGTATCTGTTGCTTAGCATATGTAAAGTTGTAGTCTGTATTTATGAGACCATTGCTTAAAGACTATAAATTATGTAAATACATTAATAAATTCTAAGTTTCATGCAGCACTCCATTTAATCTCGCACCCAGTCTTGTGATGCCCTCCCACTTTTCAGCCTGTCCACTGGAGACTGAGGCACATTTATGTTGTGCAGAGGCATAGATGTTTAGCTTACAGTCTTTCCAGGTTTCTGTGCTTTCCCTTCCGCCCACCCCTCTTCCCTCTACATCCCATCTGGAAATGATAATAAAGACATATGCCACTTCGATGAGCCTGACTAGTTCTTGCTGGCCTGTGGTAAAAGAGTGTGCTCTGAGCTCAAGTCATTTACCTGGTCTTGGTAATAAGTTTCTCTCGGCTTTCACAGTGACCCCAGACCAACTGGTTTAAGAGCACTTTTCTTGTTAACAATCTAGCTTATCTTTTCGTTTCCTTTATTTTCCCCTGCCTCTGTTAGTGGTTAACACTCTTTTCCCTCAGGGAGCCTAATGAGGTTTTTAATATGATCTAAAAATAAGCACTGAAGTGCAGTTGGTGGAAATGTGCTCCTGGTCTAATTGGGCACCCTCCAACCTGAGTATTGTGCGAGAAGGAAATTTACAGGATTAAATAGGAAATGAAACAGCTTGAATTTCAAACTAAATTGTGTTTTCAGAGCTAGCCTTAAACTGAACAGTCAAAACTTTTGAAAATAATTGTTATTTCTTTGTGCCCCCCACTTGATATGGATAGATTTTAATGGGAAAATTATAACTCGGATTAAGTAAAAAATGACTCCCTTTTCCCTCTTGTATGTCTTAAGCATTTGAAATTGCTTTATTCTTCTTGAAATCATATAGAAAGAATGCAGTTGGTAAAAATTCCAACGCTGTTTTGTGTGAAATACACATGGACTCTTATCTCTCTAGCATTGCCTCCAACTCAGCACTAAATTAGCAAACTTGATACGAGAAGCCACATGACTCCTAGGGCTGGGCCCTTGCGACTGAAGGTGGCTTGATGTTACTTCATATATATCCAGGATGTCCAGCCACTGCCCTGGCCTGTCCCCAGCCTTCCCACTACCGGGCCTCTATCTCTACGACAACAAATAAAAACAAAGGTTGCCTGGCTGATTGCAGAAAAGGCAATGCATGTGAGGCCTTTTTTTGTCTTATTTCACAGAAAGATGATGCAAATCCACCACCTTCACATTTTTTCCACCAAACCTGCCAATAGATGCTGGTGAGCACATGGTGTCTTGGTGCACGGGTGAGGTCCTTTGAACCTCTTCTGAGTGCCTCTGATCTCACTGTGATGTTCTCCATCTAGCCCAACTCGAGGCCATCTCTCCTGCCCTTTGCAGCTCTCTGCTTCTGTGAGTTTCTAGGGAATGATTCTGCCTGGTCACAGCCACATCTCACTAACGGACAAGCAGTGTGGGGCATACGCTCAGGCATTTCTGGGGCCTCTTCTCCCTCATTTTCATCAGTCTCTCCAAAAAATTGACAGGGTGCTCTTTCGCTTGTAGTACCTTTGTAATGCCTAACAGCAACAACAGGTTTCTATCACAGATCCATGACCCATGCTCAGTGAAAATGGGGAAAAGGTCTTCATTTTATATTGTTTGCTTCTAAAATGCAAAGGTAAATATTAGAGTCAGGAGCAGTGCTTTACTTTGAACACATTTCAGATTAACCAGACTAAGCAGTGATCCACCACATTCCATATTTCTTTATTTCTTATGAGAAAAATCTCATAAGATTTCAAAGGAATTGAGACATAGCCCATCTGTAAAAAACTATTTGGTTCCCTTATGACGCAGGGCCATTTTTAAAAACTTTGGGACTGAATAGAAGAGAGAAATCATTAATTAGCTGCAAGTGTGTATCGATTCCTTTCAGAGAAGTTGAAATAAGCTCTTTGCAGGTGTCCGATCCTAGAAACCACTGGTCTCCAGATCTCTCCTTTTACATAAGTGTTTTTCTGATTCTGTGATAACTAATTAACTATCATGTGGTGATTAAAAGAACATAAAGTAAGAGTATGATTAAGTAAGTGTCCTTCATTTCCAACTCTCTATAAGAAGTGATTGGGGAGAAGTATCTACTACAAGCCCTTCTGGTTCCAAATGAAACCTCTATCACCTGCTTGTCAGCCACAGTCGGGACAGGCCCTGCTCAGAGCAGCTGAGAGATTTGTTTCTTTTAGATTAACACATGTCCTTGTTCCCTATTTCTGATGTTTGAAGTGCCTGCTCTCATGTTCCTCTTTCCTGGGTGCCCACCCATGTCTGAAAGGATGAAGGCATATCAGAGGCTTGATCTCCTGGGCCAGGATCCTTCTTGGGGTTGTCAGTTCTCTTTACTTTTAAATATACAAAGAGAAAGAAAACTGCATTTAATTCGGAACTTCTCTTCAAGTATTCTATTTCTTGTCTCAAGAAGGAAATAGGCTGAGGAGAATTTCTAAAACCCTGGGAGATAGAGCAATGAAAATTGCCTTTGGACAGTGATCACATGGCTTTCCTGGCATTGTCAAACTGGAGTGTCTGTTTTCCATGGCCTTGTGTTTCAGTAGGCAGGTTAGATTCAGATTATGCCATACTCTTTGGTACGTGGGTCTCCAAATTTGTACGTGTGTTCAAATTTGTGCCAAGAGTGAATTGCAAAAGAGGTCGTATAAATTCTATTTGGCACTTTTTCATTCATTCTTTCAGAACACACTGAAAATGTGATGCATGGGCTCTTAGAGTCTCATGCACACAATGTATTGCATCTAACAGATGAGCCCACTAAACATACAGATGTCTTTGCAGGAGCCTGTGGAAGTGATGAGAGAGTCCTTCCTTCCTTCCAGAAAAAAGTTGTTGGGAACCCATTAGTGCTCATCATGCCAGGTGCCTGCTTTAGAATGTTTGGAGGAGAGTGACAGACACAGCCCACTAACTCAGGCTGGCCCTCCTTGCTAAACCCAGAAAGTTGCATGGCAGTGACAAGCTAGATGGGAAAATCTTCAGTATTTAAATTTGTTTTAAAGGGATGAACAACACAATTTTTGTTTATTGTTTGATTTCAAAGGAACTGCACCTCTTAATAGTTTTTAAAGGAAGAAATGGAATGTACCTTTGGGGATCACACTGTTAAATATATTTGACGTTAGCTTGGTTCATCAGAAAATTTTAAAACATTTTAAGGTTATCTTTAGGATATCCTGTGGTACTGTGATTTACAGAAAGAAAAAAAAAAAAGTCCAAGCAACAAATGATCTAGGAGTTAAGCAGTATACCCTGTAGTTTTAGAAAAGGGTGGTGGGGGTGAAATTTAGCCTGGGGCTTTAAGAAATGACCTACGCAAATTTCTTTTGACAGCAGAGTTGCTTGTCTTGACTTCCAGTAATAGAAAACCAGGCAATTTGATTATCTGATTTGCAAGAAATGTTAATGGAATTCTGGGGCATTTGTCCTGTTTCATGTGCAAATGAAAGTCTAAAAATGTATTAGAAGAGTCCATTTTTCAGGAGCCTCCATTTCCTCCACCTAAGAGAATGATAAGTGATAGACCTGTTGTGATGAAGTCTCCTTTGACATCACCAGGAAGGTGAATAAATGGAACCAAGAAGCAGCACATTTCTCAGCTCATCCTTCAAGATTCTCTTAGTTTATAGGAAAATGATTTACTTTCCAAATCTAGAAGGACTTTCAGTAGCATAGATCAAGTTTAATTTGATGGTCTGTACCATCAGAAATAACTAATATCTGTGTTCTTTCCTTTCAGAGCATAATCAATTATAGCTATGCTAGAATATTTTTGGCTTCAAAACAAAAGGATTCAGAAGTTTAATTTCGAAAAGTCTCATGCCTTCCATCAATTCCTTTTGTTATGCTGAACATTTGAGATAGTAAGATTAGGCTATATCTACAGTAGGTGGTGAAGCCAACCATGATGTCTAACGGATTTTTTAAAAATTGTTTAATTCATTTTTGCAAGTTCATTTTTATATCTGGTGCCTCATCAAAATGTTTCATTATCCCAACAAACAAAATTGTGGTAGCTTTCAGGTGTTCAAGTACCAATTCTGACTGCCAATTGTAATGATTTTTTGAAGGAGTCTGGTTTTTTTTGAGGGGGGGGGGTTGTTTGTTTTTTCTTGATGGGACTGGGGATTGAACCCAGGATGTTTTCCCATTGAGCTGCATCCCCAGCCCTTTTTTTATTTTGAGACAGAGTCTCACTAAGTTGCCTAGGCTGGTCTTGAACTTGGGGTTCTCCTTCCTTAGCCTTCTGAGTCACTGGAATTTACAGGCATGCACCACTGCACCTAGTAGCCCCTAAAAATTTTTGAAGCAGCTTTTGAATTTATTTACTTCCTTTGTATATGAAGTTATTAGGTAGTTCATGAAGCTTATTCTTAACATGGACCATGCATGTGTCAGAGAGATAAGTCAACTCAGTGAGGGAGAGTCTTGTGCAGCCGGCTAGTGTTGGTGGCTCCATTTTTAAACCATGTGTTGTTCTGTATAGACAGAGCTTTATTGCCCTGGGAAAGGAAAAAAAAATTTCCCTACTCTCATCTGTCTCATCCATCGTTTTGCTTTATTAGTCGCTCACATAATCACCATTTGCCACTCTGACCTTAAGAGTTTGTCTTTCCTTCTCTGTGATCAAAGCAGACTTCTTGCCTTAGTTCCCTTCTCACTTTTTGGTGACCTGTCCCTTGGAGACCCTGCATTGCTCACCTCCCCAGCACATGACGTGCCTTCTCCTGCAGCCGGTCACAGTTGCAGCACCAGGCTGCGCCCACTCCATCCAGCTGGGCGAGTCATGTCTATGCAATCAGATGCCAGAGCTGACTTTAGGTAAGGACCTCCAGGATTTCCAGAAGGGGAGTGGGCAGCCCTAGCTTACAGTGGGAACTCAGCTGATTGGCAGAATGGTTTTTTGTCACTGGTGATCGCCTAAGTGTCAGAATTTCACAGAGTTTGTAATAGAGCATTTGTTAAAGTGTATAAAAGTGCAAGTCAAAGGTCTAGAAGAGAAACAACTAGAGAGATGAGCCTAGACGTTAAAAAAAAAACAACAAACAACTAAGCCATTATACCAGCAACTCATTTCTCCTAAAAATGTCATACTTTCTTAAGACCTGATGCAAGGAATAAAATATTTGTGCCTTTTACAATAGCCATCTGCTGTGGGGAAAAAATCAAATGCCTATAGTCTGGGCCTTTTTGTAGCACTGTAGAAGCCAGGTTGGGAGCCGTGGCTTCACACTGCATCTTGCACTGCCTGG